CCCCAAAACCCCAAAACCCCAAAACCCCAAAACCCCTTTAATATTTTATAATATTGAATATGTACACAGGAATCAATCAGAGTTGGAACTCTAAAAGAACAGCGAGTACCAACCGATCATTTAACTTCCCGTCCCAACAGATAAGACCATTTGTTCCACAGAATTCTTACCCAAGGCAAGAGTTCTCAGGTAAAATGTACTATATTATGAATTTAGCCCCTCAATTTGAAGCTAGAGGAGATCATTCATATAATTATCAAAATAGCCCGAACCCTTTGAATAGTTTCAGAAGGCAAAGAGAAAACAGGAACTCAAGCATGACTCATGATGTTCCTGGAATCCTCAACTTTCCAGAAGTAGAGTAAGAATGATTATTTAGAACTTCTGATTCATGTAGCTCAAATCGAAGCCTTAGGAAACTTGTACTCGACCCAAGAGGAAAAGAAAGAGCTAGTAATAAAAATTTACAAATGAGATATTTACACGGTAGGATCTGTAAATATAAATATAGATAAACCAAATCGACCGGTGAATAGCACCAATGATCCTCTTGACTCCTTCTTCAGTAAAATCAACGAAGACAAGAAGACTTCTTTCAGGCGTGAAAACATAGCTTTGATGGCTCGGCTCCAAATTGCTGAAGAGAACAACAAGAAGCTGAAAAGAGAGCAACAGATGCGGAAAGAGCATGCTCTTCAGAAGAAGTTGGAAGAAATGCGTATAAATGACACTCTGAGGCTCAACCTTAAGGAGCAAGCAGAAGCAGAGAGAATCAGAAACCTTAAAAATTTAGGTATGGTAAATTATATGTTCTTTAGAAGCTGAAGAAGAAAGAAAACATGCTGAGGAAGAGATTAAAGCTCAAGGAGAACCTAGACATGTCACAATGATGTTGAACAGGCTTGAGAGGGAAGCAGCTGAAAGACAAACAAAAAATGATCTTGATAGGATTGATAAGGATGATTTATTGAAAGACCTACCTTTGTATAATAACTCAAATAATGACACCAGTAATACCTTTTCTAAATTTTAGTAACCCCTGACCAGATTAATACTTCTGTTAAGAAGAAGACTAAGCCTCATAGTAGCAGAGCAATCAAGAGGATAAAAGAGAAGATTCTGAAGTCAGTCAATAAGAAGGTATCTCCTTTGGGCAAATTCCGAGGAATCGCTAAAGCAATAGTTCAGTTATTCTTCCTCATGAATTTTACAAAATAAGTATAAATAAGGTCTCAAGAAGTTTGATGGAGAAGAATATCTCAATAGTTTATTCTTCCAGCCTTGTGATGGCCAAGAACTGGTTTATTGAGAAAATTCCTGTATTTTTCAGGCAGATTATCAATTATGAAGGATCACTCGACTTTACAGTTTCGAATAATGATTACATAAATGATAAAATCTCACAGAAACGGTTTAAGAAGGCCCGGCCAATTATTTCATACTTCTTCAAGAGGTTACTAAAAATCACAACTATCAAGGAGATGCCTCAGCAGATGATTAAGTTCTTAGTAGACTTCTTCAAACATGGTGCTCCTGTAGATCCAACTTCCATAACACTTTTTGAAAGAGATAGGATATCTGTTGATGAATTTAATACCTACTACGACATGGACCAAAAATCAAAGGATTTTTTGAGGATCTACTTCCTATTCGGAAAAGCATTAATATTCCTCACCATGCTTGATGAAGATGCATTCTGTAAGATCCTTCTATTCCATTTCTGACTTTTCTTATAGCAAATGTAAAGGTAAAAACTCTGATTCTGGTTGACAAATCAAAACTTTAAAATCTCTAACAATTTAGGTGAACACTAAAAACTTAAAGGTAATAGCAGGAGTACTTTATCACTGAATGATGGACTACCTGCTCATTCTGGTGCCATGCAAGAACGAATATGACCCTGAGGCCACTAATTACGAGCCCATCAGTTCTAAAGTGTTTCCAAGAGAAAAATTTGCTCATCTCACAACCCACCACACCAAATTTTATGAGAAGGAATGTATTGGAAATATTGAAAAATGGGCCAAGCAGCTGCAGAAGGTTATAGAACTCTCAGAGTCAATTACCAAATAACTTATTTACATTTAGGAATTCAATAGAAAAGTTTCAAATAGGGGTTTTGGGGTTTTGGGGTTTTGGGG